CTTCTTCTCAGCAAGGGTGACGGAACACTGGAACAGGCTGCCCAGGGAGGTTGTGGAGTCTCCTTCTCTGGAGACATTCAAAACCCGCCTGGACACATTCCTGTGTAACCTTATCTAGGTGTTTCTGCACCGGCAGGGGGATTGGACTAGATGATCTTTTGAGGTCCCTTCCAATCTCTAACATACTGTGATACTGTGATAGCTGCCAGGATAATTTTTTGGAGAAGTTTTTTGGGGGAGGTACGGTTTACGAATGGAGTCATATAGATGTTCTCATAATAGGGAACACATGAAGTTAATCAAGGGTTGTTTAAGCAGGTGAAGCAGAGAGTTAGGAGTGGGGTGGGTGGTCTGTGATCTGAGAGAGGTAGAGTTGTAAAAATGTTTGGGGATCATAAAATGAATGATCACAAAGTGAATGATCGCAGAATGAGAATGGCCCCTACCTTTCTGTTGTTACCTTAACTGTCTTTTGCCTTGAGGTACAGGTGGAACTTTAAAATGGGAGCTCCTAAGCCTAACAGGACAACAAATCCTGAATTTATACAGGATAAAGTTTAATGATTCAGGAATGGACCACATAGCTGTAAGGGCACTTGTGTTTTGGAGCTGCAGTGACTTGGATGTGAGTGTTGTGGGGAAATTACCTGTGCTTGCAATAAAGGTGAAGTTGTCTGCAGATTGCACTGCTGTTCGGAGGTTCAGAGTGATGTTGAAGTCCTGACCTCTCCTCAAGATTGCTTCTGTGCTGCTGTAATCAGAGGTGTGGTGTGCAGCTTTATTTAGTTTGGATTGCCAGTTGACATTTGCTATCTTCAGGGCTAGAAAAATACAAGGCAAGTTAATTAAAACATTGTTCCTTCAAACATGTACATCTTTTCAGCTTGTGTAATGTAATTTTATTATATGAATGGATTTACATGCTCTAGTAAAATAATGACAACTTAGAGGAACAGCTGCCATGTCTTTCATGGAGGCGACTTTCAGAGACAGAAAAAAACATCCATTCAGGGAATTCATCTTTCATTTAAAAAATAAATCAGAAAAGCTATTGTATTTAGATAAGACTTTGTAAAAAGTTTGAAGAGGCTGTTCTGCTGTACCATGTTCCTGCTCTTTTTCTGGGGAAATTCTCTAGTTCCCAGAATGCTTTAAAGATGTACAGAAAGAAGTATTAAAACTCATGAGCAAGTATATGCCTAATCCTGGAAATGCTGTATGACAGCTGATGTAGAAAAAGCTAGTATCTTCATTGTTGGACTTGCACATTATCTTCTTCTATATCTCAGTTATTTACAGTTTTGTTGCTTGAAGCTAGGTGTTTTTTCACGCTCTGTTGGAGAAAGATAACCAGTGGAGGGCAGATGGTAGCATTAGGTCTGGTATATCTTGAGGCAGTGCTATGGATTGCTCGATTGTATCATGATGAAACCCACTTGGAGTATTGAGACCCTACTTGAAGCACTGTGTGCAGTTCTGGTGTCCACAGCATAAGAAGGACATGGAGCTGTTGGAGTGAGTCCAGAGAAGGCCACAGGGATGATCAGGGGCTGGAGCACCTTCCATACGAAGACAGGCTGAGAACACTGGGGCTGTTCAGCCTGGAGAAGAAAAACTGCATGAAGACCTCACAGCAGCTTCCAGTGTCTGAAGGGGGCTACAAGAATGCTGGAGAGGGACCTTCATTAGGTACAACCTGCTCTAGTGGAACATGTCCATGCCTGTGGCAGGGGTTGGAACTGGATGAGCTTTCCAGCATTAACGATTCTATGATAAATTGCCCACTGTTGAAGACGGGACACTTAAGCACAGATTGTTACAAAAGCTTTCAACCTTTTTTGATCCTTGATCAGTTAAAAAAACAATGACAACAACAAAACAACAAACAGGAACAAAGCAGAAAAAATACAGAACCCTCTATGAATTCATATGTTTGAGGAGTGCCTTTCCCCAGTACAGAATCATAGAATCATTGAATAGTTTGGGTGGGAAAGGACCTTAAGATCATCTCATTCCACCCCCTCTGCCATGGGCAAGGCTGCCTCACAACAGACCATGTTGCCCAAGTCTCTGTCCAACCTGGCCTTCAACACTGCCAGGGATGGAGCATTTATCAGTTCTTTGGGCAACCTGTGCCAGCGCCTCACCACCCTCACAGTAAAGAATTTCCTTATATCTAATCTGAACTTCCCCTGTTTAAGTTTAAACCCATCACCCCTTGCCCTATTGCTAAAGTCCTTGATGAAGAGTCCCAATATGATATTCCAAAGGAATTTCACTTGACAAAAACTTCCTACCATGACTAGAGCATGTTAACCCTTTGCAGACCAATGGGCTTGGTTTAGCACCACCTTTAATCACTTAATGAAGTTCGTATCTGAGGAAATCCATATGGTTCTACTACAGAAATAGAGAGGGTGGGATTTGAGATTATATCAATTTTTCAGCTTCTAGATAGACTCCATGTATGTCTGTTATATGATGCATCTTTCTAACTAGAAATCTTTCCAGTCAGCATAAGAATCAGAGCAGGTGCAATGTCATACATAGATAGCACAGGTTAATTGTAGACATGCTGCAGGGAGGTGAACTGGGAGTCCAGAGGCCATCAAGTGACTTGTTTGAGGCCAGACATCAATTTGATGTCACAGAGGAATTACAGCCTGGAACTTCTGTGTAGCAGTTTGCCCAAATCACGAGTCAAAAATATTGTGTATGTGGCTGCAAAAGCACTGTATAGACCAGTTAATGGATATGGTAGAAAAATACTTTCTTACTCTATTTTTCTGTGTTACAGAAAAAAAAAAGGCATTACTGAAAAAAAAAAAAAAAAGAAAATTGGCAGTTCTAGTAGAATAACCCATAAATGCAATTAACCTAAAAAGAACTAAACAGCTGAGAAAACAGCCAGATGTAATTTACCTTGTTTCCTCAGCAAATGTCATTCATTTGTATTGGAAGAGTGATATCTGGAACAATCAGCCTGTTTTTAACTTACCTGCCATAATGTTTTTTTCTTCTTCTCTACACTTGCGCGTACTTCAGGTTATGGATACAAAAGTGTGCAAGAACACTCTGAATCCTCTTCCACCAGCATGAGTAACAAAAGGTTTAGGACTCAACTGTACAACTTAGATTTTATACAACTTGGGTGTGCCCTGTGGTTGCAGTGTGGTTACTGTTTTTGTAGTAATGTCCTACGTGAGCATCTACTTATGATGGCTTTAATTGCACAGTCTTGATTCTAATTACGCTTATTTAAAACTGGTGAATGGCTGAGGCAAGATGATAAACAGTATCCTGATGTCTTAATTACTAAGAGAGGAAAACATCCCAAATTGGACCTAATGAGGAAATACAGTCTGAAGTAGACAGAATAAGCTTAATTTTGGATGGTTTCATTTGTGTCAGTTTAGGTTTTTGACAGTATGTACAGAGGGCAGGTATAGACAAATATACATATCGTACAGCATGGACGTATGGGACACAGAGTTATCTGATTAGTTTGTAATAGCATAAACCAGTTTTGGGTGTTTTTTTTAAAGGCAAGTCTGTCTGAAGACCTTTCACATAACTGCATAGAATTCATTCTTTCCTGGAAGCACACAGAGAGGTGTGACGTTCTGATGATCTGTTGCTGACATGATTATCTGTAATACGCCTTTCTTAGTAAGAAGCAATGCATCCCACTGAGATGACATTGTTATTACTATGCAGTCACCTGTGTACCCGGATTTCATGGCAGCCTCTGCTCTTAAAGATTTTTCTTTATAGCTTGGTGCTCATAACACAGGTATGCTGTTTCTCTGTAGCTATTTGGCATGGCATCTTGAGCTGAGCCCTGAAGGAGGCTATGGAGCTCTTGTGCTGTGTGAGCCCTGCCCACTCTCATTTCAGACACACTCTTCTCCACTCTTGAAGCTTGCTCATGCTCTTTCCTCCCTCATCCTGTTTCACGATTTAGCTACAAACATGCCCTGCCAGTTGGTCCTGGGAGGAGGTTGTGTACTGTTCCCAACTTTTGATGGACTGTATTGAGGAGGAAGGGGTGATCACTTACTTTTCTCACCCCTACGCTTCTACATTGTGTTTTTTTCTGTCTGTTGCTGTTTTCTGTTTTGTTCAGAAATTCGTATCATGATTGATGGCACCCTGGGCAAATTAACTACCTGCAGCTTAAATTTATTTTAAAAGAAGAATCAAAAGTTTTATTATGGTTTCTTGTGCATTATCTTCATTAAGAATTTGTGATCATGCCTGGATATGTCCAACTGAAATATTATCAGCTGTCTGACAAAAGTTGTCCATATCGAACATCTGACATCTCTGTGGTTCAGAATTTTGGCCATATTAATTCTGCTTTAAACATTTTATACATCTGACATCAAATCTAAGTCTTCAGGCTTGGGAGACCTGTTTGTACATCATTACTGCTTCACACTCTACTTAAGCAATGTGGCCAGGTGGTTACTGTGTCCTGTCAGTCATTACCCTTCCTAGGAGTCCCTCAAGAAGCTATATTGCCTGCAGTAATAGAGAATCCTTAAGGCTACTTGAAAGTGAGTTTCAAGTGAAACCTGGTACCCAGCAATGTAGGATCAGGAACCTGCAAAAGAGGCATCTGTATGCAAACACCGTGCCAGAGGTATGGAGGAGGGGCTGCCTGGGAATGAGTTACATTGGGAAGGTTTGAAGACAAATGTGTTCCTTGTCTTCAGTAACCTTACGCTGATGGGCAGAAAGTGTTAGTTACCTTCTGTTGCTGAACTTTCAGATTAATGCAAAGGTCTCCCCTTGTGTTTAATGGTGCTTGGGACTCTGCCACATTACACAGGAATTAAGTTACCTACTTGAATGAGTATATGTGTGGTCCACTCTGGAACAGTCCTGTGCCCACAGGTTAGAGAAATATTGTTGTCATGGACCCCAAACATTACTTTTCCCAGTCTTTGTAGGCTTTTTTTCTCCCCATTCAGAGAGTTCATACGTGTCACAAATACAGAAATTAGATTTTCTACTTCTTTAGGTAAGAAGCTTGAGAAATGAAGGGAAAAGCATCATCCTCAATCTTGTGATTTCTCATAATATTTCCATGGAATATACAATTCATTACAAAAGAATACGGTTCTAGGAATAGATTTATTTATTGCTGACAATTAGAATGTGCTTGAAAACAGACTGTATTAATAATCTGATGGAAAAGTCAAAACAAGGAGCCTAACACAATGACATTTGATAAAACAGTGGGACTATTTCTACAGAAAGGGACTTCAATTTTCTAGACAAGAGGACAAAAAAACAAACCAACAAACCCCAAACAATTACAGACTACAGAATTAATCACTGTGAAAGCAGGAGACTTGATTCTATTGCAGTGTAAGAGGTCACCAACTTTTGTGGTAAGTTCCTTGCTGTCATTACTGTCCCTGTATAGAGGAAGATGTCTTGCCAGGTTAATGCTGAAACAGGAGATTGATTCCACTGCATTATGCAGATGCTACTGCAATGGTTACAAATCCCTTGACATGTGAAAATTTGTCACAAGAGAAGTCTACTTGCAGCTGTAAGGGCCCAGTCCTGCGAGGTGTGAATTCAAAATAAATTTTTGATCTCTCTCTTGGTGCCAGTGGTGCCAGACTGGAGAAAAAAAAGAAAGAAAAATCCATTAATTCAGGCTTGCATTGTCTTTACCTTGAGATTCCCAAGAAGCAGAAGTGCATGATAACGGGGGCAGCAACAGTTACTTGACTCCCAGCCTTGGGTTTTGAGAATTACTCAGGGTTTGAGGCTCTGTGCAGACCAGGAAATGAGAAAAGAAAGTACTGTCTTCATTTACTCTTGAATAGCCTGGTGGAAATGAGCAGCACTATGTCATGCCTTGTTAGGGCTGGGTATGAGTTTCGATAGTCAACACAAACTGAGAACAGGAAAACTCTCATGTCAAAGGTCAGCACTGTTCAATGCCTGCTTGGTTCATATCCATTTTGGCAATAATGTACTTTTTCTAATGACTGGATTCTTCATTTTGCTCCTCTTGGCCTAAATTGGTTGTCTTTCACTGGAATAATGTTTTCTGTATATTTTTATGGAATATGTCCAAATATTTACAGAATCACAGCAAGTCAGGCTGTTTTATAATAAATCCCTAGGAAATATGACCTGCTCAGCACTGAGTTAATCCATAAAGCAGGAGAGTCCAGAAGAAAAGAAAAAATTAGTAGAATATTTTGCTCTTAGGTTTTTTCTCCTACTTTAAAGGAGAACAGAGCTACTTCTTTTTTGGGCTGAAACAAGGGGAGCTATGGCAGGGTCTTACTTGTTTGCTTTAACTCAGACTTATTTTTGTAGTGCTACAGTACTGCATATAAAAATAGAAACACAAAGCCAAGTTGTAGAGAAAAATATCAGAGAAACAAAAGAATTTGACATATAGAATCATAGAATCAACTAGTTTGGAAAAGACTTTGACATGTCCATTTTCTTGTCCATGAAAGAAGAATGTTAGCAGGTTTTAGTTGTTAAAGTTCCTACTTAGAAAAGTTAAAACATGATTGAGGAATCATTGTATCTCAATATATATTTGGTAGTAGAAAGTATGAAAAAGACAATTCAACTATGATTTTTTTTCTGACTGAGGAAACTAGGCATGCTGTTGGTCATGTTCAGAGCACTGCGTGAATGTTACAGCTTTCACTTACTGTATCTTGACCTGTTGATTCATCAAAGTCACTAGCAGTACACAGCGGTTCACAGGTTCAGGAAGGGGATTGGCGTATGAGATCTCTAGAGAAACAGCTTTGTTCACTACAACCCGCCGAGGAATCTAAACGGCAAAGACACATTTCTGATCATTCACTGTTTCATGCTTTTCTGGAGTCAGGCTTCAATCGAACTGCAAGCAGAGCGTCTCTCATATTTGAGGCTGAATGAGATATTGGTAGGAGCTGTGAAATTTAACTAACAACTGGTAACCCTTTCTCAGTACTTGAAGCTGGACTTGGGTTAGCTAAACAGTGCTGTAAAGGTGTATGCAATATTTTGTGCACTATTTCAGTAAATAGTCTTGACTATGTGGACACATCTCATTAAACCTATCTGCTGTTTGGGTTGCTAAGTGGCTTTTTTTCTTTTTTTACTTTTTTTTTAATTTATTTTGGCACATCATTGATTAGGGTTAAAGCATTAAAACAATATAAACTGTCTCTAACATAGATTAGAATTAAGGGTTTAAGTATATTTTGTGAGCAGGCAAAGTTGTTCAAAGGCAACACAAGCACTTGCCAATAACTAGAATACAGATGAAATGAAAACAAATTTTGTGAACATGTGACTGGGAAAGAAAGAAGGTAACAGAGCTGTTCAGAAGAATAGGGGGCAGATTCAGGCGAAGAAATTGCTCACTTGCATGCTTACTTTCTCAATTCAAGCAGGCAGAATTTTAGAGCAACATCTGAAATTGCAGCCTAAAATAATGCATTTATCCCCACATTCTCATCTTAACATCCGAGCTCCAGAAACACTCTAGTTCCTTCTGTCTGTTCAGGGCATCAGAAAGAGAATTGTTTACCTTAATGATAATGTTTGTGTCCTCTAAAATGATTGTCTTCTCCACCAGCAACTTTACCCCATGCATGTGGATGACTTCACACAAAGCAGTAACTTGGATCCTTTTGTCGGTAGTCAGGTATTTTCCATAATAAGAATAAGGGATCTTTAATCGGATATGTTTCCCTGGAATTTGGACATATATTTAGGAATCGTTACATTCTCAAAGAATGCTAAAGAAAAGATTGTTACTGGGAGGGTGGTGGTGGTGTTGAAATTACTGAAGAGAACAGAATATAAGAGAGCTGAGTCTGTATTTCTTCCATGTGAGACTGGTTGTGTATTTCCCTGTCCTAGTGATCCTTTTCTTAATCCATTTGACCCCTACAGTTTTGAATGGAGGATTTTATCCTGAAACAGGGGGGATCTGCTCATGTGCATTTCACTGGATTCCTATCTCTTCGTATTTCTTGAAATTAGAGTTATAATCATTTTTATCTATTCCATCCTTATATCCTATTTGTTATATGTATATAATATATATGTTAGCTATAATGTAAATGTAGCCTTCTATATAACATTTCATGAGACCTTCAATTCCTGGTTGAACTAGTCAAAGTTTTCTGAGTAAAAAATATCTTACAAAATGTGCTCATAAAAATACTGTTAAGAGATGGAACAAGCAGATGTACTACAAGATTGATAAAGATACGATATTGATGTTTTTTCCTTCTAATTAACTTCATGTAGCTAAGAGAGCTCTATTGGCTCCTTAGGGACATTAAAAGTTACCTTGTTTAGAACCAAGATCCACAGAAGTGGTTGCCTTCAGGATCTCTGCCACTGCTCTCCTTGTGTACAGGATGGCTGACGCATTCATGTCCACCTTCACAGTCTTGGGGTCAAAAGATAGGTTACTGAGAATTAAGATCAGGGTAATGTCTTTGCCAAATACTGGAGGTTCAGCCAGCTTGAATTTCCCAGAGATCCCAGGGTTTCTAATATTCTCTGAGGGCCTTTCATCTGGAGATTCTCTGTGTCCTTCTGTGATGTTTGGCCCAAATATCTTGGCCAAGGCCTTTTTATAAATTCGTCTTTCCTCAGGAGAACCTGGTCAAAGGAAAGAACCAAGTAAAATTCATACTTCTGTTGCTTTGCTCGTTGTCTGTATAAAGGCTTTCAGAATGATACATGGTGTCAGCTCTGCATCACACAGGAATATTGCAATACCTGAAAGTTCCCCGTACTTTTATTAGGCCTCTGATCAGGTTTTTCACAAGAGAATAATAAACATACTGTAATAAGGTGAATAAGTCACTAAAATAAAATAAATGCATTTGTATTTATTTAGGATGCAGGATTCCTTTTTCTTTGGTCAGAACATACACTAATGTGGTGTTACTTTGCTAATCTGATGATAATCCGTCTCTGTATTAAATATGGTTGCACTAAAAACTTGAGGAGTGAAGTATTGAAATATGGCCACTGATTCTGGATGGCAAATATTAAAAAATGTTAAATATATCTTCCTCCTTTTTTTTCCATTTTTTAAGACTTTGAGCCACAAACATTAAGCAGACTAATATATGAATTCTGTAACCCTGAATTTAAAAAAGATGGAAAGACATAGGTACAAGATTTTGAGGGAAGATAAAAATATTCCTGCAAACCTATGCCTATGCAGTTCTTAAACTTTGTTGCATTTTTTTCTGAAGTATGGATGAGTGGCACTTCGTCCTTTGCCATTTCCTAGTATTTTGTTTCCAGAATCCAATAATGTGGAGGCCAAGTCCAGCAGGAGTGCAAATATATAACTGATTGGCAAGGTGATGACTGGATGTCAGAGCAGGATCACAAGAGAGCCTAATTTGGTGAATTTATACAGGCAGAGATGGAGATTGGTCACTTCTCTTGGGAGTGGGATGTAATGGGGTCTTCAGAAGGAAAAATGAGGATTTGGAGTAGACACATCAACAGTTATTTGCAGAGAAAGACTGAGCATGAGATCTACTGGGAGGTGGATGTCTAGAACTGGAGTTTAAGGTTTTGGATTGGTGGCTTGGTTGTTGATCTGCTTCATCTGCTAAATATGGCAGTAAACTAGTATTTATTATTCTATAACTTCCCATACTGCACACCTGCGGTTCATGATACACGATGGACTCAGCTTTAAGACTTTTTGGTATGACAGCCTGAGGGTTTGTCTGCCTTGGGTAGTAAAATATATCTTATAGCCCTATTTTGTGTTTATATTACATTTTATACTTCTCCATAAGGGACTAAATTATATTTTGTATTGTGTCTTAATAAGGACACTACTAAATACACAAACCCAGAAATATAATACCCACTGTATTAAGAAAGTCTCTGAAAACAAGGGCAGAAATATTTTCTGAAGGAAAAGGAGAAATAATCAAACAAAACTGTTTACCCATCTTAGCCTAGCACCAATAATTCAGTAGGAGATACTTGTGATAACTCTTTTACCTTCTGGATATTTGTAACTATAGGTGACATCCACACGGGAGTTGCTGCCCACAGCTTTGGTGCTGATAAACCTGCCAATTATTTCGGTATCACAATAAACTCTTTTCTTAGTTCCATCATTGTATACAATCCATCTGTTGCAATCAGCATTCACCTCCGTATAAACAAATAATGTGTCATAATCCAAGTCTACATCACCTTCTTTGATGGCTCTCACAGATGCAGGACCACACTGAAATAATCCTAAAACGTGGAAAAAAATAAATTCAAATTTTATTAGTTGTGCTCAGTTTGAAGACAAAATGTTAAGTCATGATGAGAACTTCTCCTGCTACCTTTACTTTGTTCTTGTGGAGTCGCATCCAAAACCTGCCACCCATTGTATGATGTTCCTAGGTCTGGGCGAATGAACCAGCTTTCATTCCAGACATGATAATCCCTGGAGACAAAGAACAGCATCTAGAAAGCACAGTACTATAGAGTCCTACAAATTTCCAGTTTGAAAGGAGTAAGGATTTTTTTTTTGTTTTTTTAATTCTCTAAGGTCTGACAGAAGCTGTCTTGTTACAGCGACTCACTGCCTCCTTCAAAGAATAGGTTTACTGGCTGCTTTTGAGGTGTAGACCTCAGGACAGGGAAGGAGAGAATATAGATGTTGGCAGCTTGCTTTGGGAGCAGTATGAACTATAAGTGAAAGATTTAAGTTGTGGATATATGGAGCTGTATGAAGACAGGCTGAGAAAGAAGTGGCTGTTCAGCTTGGAGAAGAGAAGGATGCATGGAGACCTCAGAGCAATCTTCCAGTATCTGAAGGGCCTATAAGGATGCTGGTGAGGGACTCTTCTTTAGGGACTGTAGTGATACAGCAAGGAGTAATGAGTTAAAACTTAAACAGGGGAAGTTTAGACTGGATATAAGGAGGAGATTCTTTCCTGTGAGGGTGGTGAGGCACTGGAATGGGTTGCCCAGGGAGCTTGTGAATGCTCCATCCCTGGCAGTGTTCAAGGCCAGGTTGGACAGAGCCTTGGGTGAGATGGTTTAGTGGGAGGTGTCCCTGCCTATGGCAGGGGGGTTGGAACTAGATGATCTTGAGGTCCTTTCTAACCCTAACCATCCTATGATCCTATGAAAGGTGCACAGCTGCATTATTATGACCAGACTGGTTAGGTGCCAGTAATTAAAAGAGCCTTGGCAATAGATATATTGTCAATCAAAACATATTTTTAAAGAAAATTGCAATTTTTGGAGATCAGAGATTGCAAAAAATTGGGCTAGTTGTTGGAACTGTTATCTCAAAACCATGAAAAATGTTTTCTTTCCAAATGGGTGTATTAATTTTGGAAAAAATTTTGTTCAGGCACCTCTCAGTTGCTTTTGTACTGCTGCTGTTCATATTTGTAAGTCTCTTAAATCCTCTCTCTAATTACTGGTGAGATAAAAAAAAAACAAACATATTTACCATGTGGAGTCCTTGCCGATATTAAGACTCTTTCCAGAGCTGTCATAGTACTTATCAATACTCAGGTTTCTGTCCACATCATGGGCAGAGTTAAAATTTGAAACCAAACGAGTAGGAATCCCCAGGCACCTTAGAACTGAAATATATTAAAAAATAATACAAAAAATAAAACTACAAAAAACCCCCAAACAACTCCCAAGCAACACAAACAACACACACACAGAGCTTTAGTTTAATGATTGCATGTATCTGAGAAACAAGTTTAAGTGTCTAAATATTTTGTGATTCTTCAGCATTTGCAGTCTTCAGAGCACTGTTGCACTTGTAGAATTAATTGCTTTGTAGTTTTGATAAAACCAGAGGTCACAAATGCCTCCATTTCACGACAGTCCTCTTTCTTAAAGCTTACCTGTACACATGACGCCTGCAAAAACCCAGCACTGGCCATACTGAACAGGCTTGTAGTTGTCCTGACGCCATTTCTGGAGGATTACCACACTACCATCCCATCTGGATGGATTCTCATCTGAATGGAAACTTCCTTGCCACTTTCCCAGGAGAACTCCATTATCATTATCATTTCCATTGATCTAAAAATAGGTGAATGGACAAAATGCACAAAATCAATTGTGTGTAATGCACCGTATGTAGTTAATTATATTGTTTAAGGTGCAGGTGGCTGGGTTTCAGTGGTATAACTAATGCTTTCTGCTAAAACGTGTGTAATTCAGATTAAGTTGTCCATTTCTTACCATAGAACTGATTACTCGGCCTACATATTTAGGGTCTCCTCTTCGGGATACATCAATGGCTGGGTCCTGACGATAGTACAGGCTCAGATCAAGCATGGTGAGACAGATGTTCAGAAGGTGATCTTGAAACTGTGATCATATAAGATAATTTTTTAAAGAAAATATTTCACAAAGAGAATTAGAGGAAATTATACTGCAGTTCTTGGCCAGAGAAGTGGTAAATACTCCATCCCTGGCAGTGTTCAAGGCCAGGTTGGACAGAGCCTTGGGCGACATGGTCGAGTGTTAGGTGTCCCTGCCAATGGCAGGGGGGTCAGAACTAGATGATCTTAAGGTCCTTTCCAACCCAAATCATTCTATGATTCTTCCTTTCTAAGATATTCCAGCCCAAAAGTGAAAGAGACAGTGAAGCAGAAAGACAGCGTGCAGTTCGCAGTGTGATACTGGCTAAAGACATAGCTAACTATTTAAAGCAAAAATCTGGCAGGATGCCTTCTGCCGTCAGAAGAAATCACTAAAGTAAAACTAAAACTGCCCAGCTTATTCTCATTGCAGTTATTAGATTATCTTGAGTTATATCCCTGGAAACATTCAAGGTCAAGATGGATGGGGCTTTGAGCAGTGTGATCTGGTTGAAGATGTCCCTGCCTATTGCAGAGAGGTCAGACTATATTAAAAGTCCTTTCCAACCCAAACCATTCTATGATTCTATGTCAGTGTTCTAGCCCATTGTTACAGCATTACAGAAACGGTGAGTGTGTTGGAGGCACACAGGTATATTGTCATTTGTGGTGCTTTGGTCCCAGATGAGGTCCATGCTTATACCATGAGCTTTAAGCACATGTAGAAGTCAGTCCTAGCTTCAGTGCTGTGTTAAGTCACCACTCACATGAAAGTCCTGTCAGGCACACAGTGAGCAAACCACAGACAAAGCTGGCCAGGTTTGTTCAGTCTCCATATAAATAGGCATGCCAATTAGAGAGGCAAGTAATGATAAAAGAAAATGCTATTGGAGATGGAATAAGAGCCTAAATGAATTCCTTATGGCTCACCTGCCCGTAGTACCATCCTCTTGCTTCTATGTACTTTGCATTACCCACAAAGATTATTCCATTTTCATTTAGGACATATTCTTGTCTCTCATTTTCATTATCCATGTAGACATCATCACCTGAAACCCAAGTTGGACATGCTTTTACACTTAAAGCTGAGAATACTAGCAGCCTTTCAAAAACATTTGAATCCTGATTTAGCAAGGGGGAAAACTATTTGGAAAATGCATTGTTATAGCTCCCTGACCATGTACAGCTCAGTGAAAAGGCCTGCTATTGTATGTGGCTGGGGGGAAGAGGGATTCCATGTTGAACTAATGTAACTTTTTCCCTAATTCTATTATAGTCTTTGTTACCTAAATATCCCCTATCTGTATGTTATATTTTTGTGAGGAAGATGGAGAAAAGTCCAGGCTAGTTCACTGGATATATCTGCCTTCTCAGGGTAGTTAAAATATACATTTGAAAAGAATCACACAGATGACACTCACTTTGATTTTTATTGTTACTCGTTGATTCCCTAATCTATGGCACAACATGTAGCTGCTATGAAAGAAGATATTTAGGTTTTGATCACTCTTTAGATAGCAGTGCCTACTTAGCTCAGTGTTTAATTTCATAATGTTAAAAATTATTTTCTAAAAGCTTCAGGATTTCAGGAAATGCATACTAAAACCAGCTTTTCATGAGTCAGTTTTTTTACCCTCCCTTCCTGCAAATACATAGATTGTATAATTTATTTTTAAAATGTCACATTATATAAAGTCTATTTTTGTGGTGGCTGTCCACACTTTTGGTTTTTTTTTTAATAATGTCATCATTATTGATTCCCAAGCTTTTGAGCCAGCACAGGCCTGGAGAACTGTGTGCAGTTGCAGGTGCTGCACATCAATGTGTGAATTAGTTGGAAAGAGAAGAACACTGATAATGCTCAGCAATCCTGAAAATACTACTTATGAAGATATTAACTCAATTATTAAGGTAGAAAACAAATGGGGGTGAGGAATGGGGCACGGTAATCAATTCCAGAAATTCTGGTGAAGAGGATGGGGCAGAAAGGGGAGAGAATCTGTTCTTCTTGTCTGTCATATGTAGGATGACAAGTTTTATGCTGACATCAAAGCAAAAAATTTTGGTTGGTTAGTAGGAAAAAATTCTAATGGAAAGGCTAGTGTTTAATTGGAATGAATTGCCAGGGGAGGTACTGCAGCTTCCCTAATGGCTGACCGTTAAGAAGGAATTAAAGATCTCTCAGGAATGACCTAAGTGCTAAATAGAGCATGGTGTGGGACTGGATAACTTCCTAAGATCCTTCTATCCCCATGAGTTTATGATTCTGAGCAATCTAAATGTCCTTCAATAATCAGTTGAAGAATATTTTTTTGTCTGAAGTTCTTATGCTCTTGATTATATTGTTCTAGATCCAATACTTTGAACAAGCTTTTCAGGAGCTGTCAAATATTTCAGTCCTTGCCTGCAGCGTGGTTTCCATCTGAAGTTACATGGAAGTTGCACCACAAGTGATCTTTCAAGGGGTTCTGGGAAGGTTTTCCCCAAAAGACTGTCTATGCAGAGACAGTCTGAGTTTCCGGAACATAGTTCTATAATTATTTCTATCTTTAAGACAGGCTGAGCTAAGTAGCAGCTTTTTTTTTTGTCTTGGCTCTTGACACATTTGTTAGGGGCCCTTGACGAGCATAGAGTCACAGAAGAAAACAGTGGATGATTGTGGTTACATTTCTTTTATAAGCTGTTCAGTCACTTGGTTGTCTAAGAGCTCCTGTAACTCATGGTATATTTTAAGGCTAATCTAGGTTTCTAGACTTGCATGTTTGCAAAAATTTCTGTTTAGGAATTTGCATTTCCTCTGTATTATGCTGAGGCTGCAGGAAAAAAAAAAAAAAGAAAAAAGAAAAAAAACAGCAGCAAGAGATATCCCTTTTCAACCCATGATGAAAGACCTGGGAAATGTCAATCTTCCTCACATTAGTCCTCTATCAGTTCTTACAGTTAGTTCAGCTATTGTCTTTGCAGTTAACATCTGTATGAACAGTCTTGCTTTGATTTAGGTGCAAGTCAAGGATGTTACTGAGAAGTTCATTAATTTACAAAAGTCTGTCACCCCTCATCTACAGAAAAATGATCTGCTCAAGTCCTGAAGAAAGAGTCTCTGATATCACCCCATATAGCACATCTCTTTATGATAAAAGGGCAGGGAGAGGTGCAGCAATAGCTTTTTAAAGTAGTAAAACTAGATCTCTGAACCGATAGCTGAGATTGCTGCTGCTGGTGACCCAAAGAGAGGCAGCTTGAGGCAGCAAGCTCACTGTGCAGATATGAAAGCAAATAGGTCAGTTACGTTCAAGAGCAAAGGCCCTGGTACCTACCTGGGCACCAAGGGTTGAAGAGTAACACAAACTGCCCCAGAAATCTGGAGAAGATCTTGTTCCCTGAGGTTACATGGAGGATCAGATTGTATCGTCCAATGACAGCATTGGCTGGGCTGGATATTGTAAAGTTCATATAACCAGCCTCACTGGGTCCTTGAACAGCACTCCAGCCATTCGCTCCCACCTCAGAGAGGTTAAATACAGCCTTTGTACGCTGAGATTCCGAGGGGGATGGTCCTGCCAGGAAGAAGGGGTAATTGGTTTCCATTCCATTGTGCAGTTTCAGTATTAATAGCACATTAGCCAGGGAAAAGTATTAAAAATACATCAGGAAAAATTGTATCTCTAAATAGAATGAGTGGGTAAGTACAAGGGGTAAAGATTACAGTTTTGTGAGAATATGGATCAAGCTAAGGGAGTATTACCGATTTCAGTGACAAATGTTAGGCTCTCTCCTTTCTGCTTTGGTCTGTTGAAGTACAGAGTAATAGTGAAGGCTTGTCCTCGCCTCACAGTCAACTCAGTGTTGGCGTATCTGTCAGTACGGTGTGCACTTGCATTTATTGATGGCTGCCAGCTGATATGTGTTGGTGTCAGGTCTACAAAACAAAAGAAGAGATGAAGATTCTTCCAAATCACATTTATTAACGCTAGTATCATAAATGCAGTGAGGATGGAGGGAGAGGGGACAGAATGGGGAAACATGACCACCACCATTTTAAAGGGAATTTAAAAGAAAACAGTAACAACAAAACAAAACAAAAAAGTGGGATAGAAAGGCTGAATTAAGGCCTATGGCACCTGCACTACTATGGCAGGAATCTTTAAACAAGTTCTAAGTCTGTCTCATACCATATAGCATTGCAATGAAATACTACATCAGATCTGAAACAATATTGCTGCATATTAAACTACAATTTATACATAATCCTTGAGGAAGAAGTCAAAGTAACATTTAACTTATGGGAAAAAAAAAGTGCCATAATTAAATTCAAGGAAGAATCGTTTTTTTCTTTGTAGTCTAAGACATACAAAGAAGTAATCTGAGCAAGCATTGATGGACTGAAAAAAAGAATCTTTAACATGACGCACTTGGGAGAAGAATGAACTAGAGTAGGCTGCTGCTTTCCCTGCAAAGCAACATTTTAAAAATTGATTTCAAAATGTTTGTTTCATCATTAAACAAGAGAGAACTCTGCTTGGCAATTGCCTGGTTCAATAGTCATCTTTATTTTTAATTTTAAAAAGCAGATACACTGTTATTACCACTTTTCTTTGGTAGAGTTCTAATGCATCTTTGAATTCATATCTGTTGACTCCATGCTCACAGCTCCATTTGGATGGAGCTAATTTTGTTAATACAAAGCATAACACATCTCTGAAAAACAGTTTAAAAAATAAAGGGTTTAGATGGAGTTCTGCATGGTGTCTTCTGAAGGAATGGGAATTTCTTTTCTCTCCTTCCCCCCCCCCCCCCAATATCCTCTGCTTAGCTCAAAAATTATTCTCTAACAGGTCTTACTATTATAAGAACAATAGAACATTGAAAATTAAGCACAAGAACATATTACAATATGAAATTTCCTTCAGATAAGAGGTTTGAGCAGACACCTACAGGGCATGTATCTTTTGGAAACAGTCCTGAATAAAGTACCTGCTGAAGGGAAGCAGATGACATGCAGAACTCACCTGCCATTCCCTTAGCTTATGAGAATTGCATACAACTTCTACTTTGTTCTTCAAGGATGTCCAAGTCACGTTAATCATAAAAAAACCCAAAAGACCAACAACCAGCAATCTTTTTGTGCTGTCAGCTGAAATTTGAGAGGAGAGGTACAGCAGTTGTTATTAATGCCTGTAGACTTGTCAAATGAATTAACTAGTTCCTATAATATATGTATGCCTAATGCCAATGTTCCTACTCAATGTGGGTGTAATTATGGGAGGAGATACCAAATTATTTACTCAGAGGAAATGCATTCTCATTAATTCCAAGACAAGAAGAACTTCCTACAAAGGATAATAGGTGTGCCATGAATAAGTTATCTTTAAGGATGAGGAAATGGGGAGTGTGGTGGGACATAAAAGCCATACGAAAGAAAAAGGAGCATTTCCTGATTACTTAACTTCCAGATTGCTTAATGTCACTTCTGGTTTTGCTAAGCAGCTGTGAGTTTGTTTTAAAGGGTTTTTTTTTGGTCTCAAATTATCTCAAATTGCCTCCTGCTTTATGTGAAATTATAAACTCTCAACAGAAACAAATGTCTGTTTACCTGTTACGCTGGTCAGCTCCGTACTACTCTTTCAGCAAAAGTTTTATTTCAAAAAGAACCCCCAAACGATTAACTGTGAAAAGTTTTTAATCAGTACAAACTCTAAGCCTGTCTAGCTTCACAACTCTGAACATATTTCTGTACCCTTGCTTAAGATACAGATAATAAAGTATCATTGTTGGGGCAAGGAATATTTAGCTGTTTAAGATCATGCAGCTGCACTGGTCGTGTTTTAGCACTCAGTAAAGACTTAAGTAAGTCTGAATTTCAAGTTTGGAAGAAAAAACAACTAAGTAAAACCCCCACAAACTGGAAGAACAGCAGCCATTCAGCTCCAACAGCTGTTTCTAAGGGTGATTTAAAAAGAAACAAAAAACCAAAAAACTTGTGCCTTTTTGAGAAACACTCTTTGATACCACAAAGAATATGAGAGTACTTACTTATATGACATTCATGCTAGCTCTAGCCTGAAAAACAAAGCGAAAACCAAACTAATACCACGTTTTCACACTTGGTGTCTCCACTTACATTATAATTCAGAGGTTCTTCCTCCTCTTGTAAATTTCTGGGATGTTCAGGCTGTCAAAGCTTGTTCCAGACTCTGCCTCAAATGGATTTGATTGCTGTTCAGAGCTACTTTAGTTGGTCTTTTTCTCTTTTCCTTAATTCATATTCCTTGGAAACCATAAGAGCCACAAGCCTCTGGTGTTACCTGATCTTCACACACAGCCCTAGTGACAAACCGCATCGACCAGTTCTTAAGTTCAGGTGCTCAGTACTTACAGTGATTGCTTCAGATGTTACACATTGCTCCCACTGGAATATGACGATTTCTTTTCTTCTTCCTTGCTACTCACATAAGTAATTAAATCTCCAAACACTTTTTCTGTCTTAGCTGCAACCACCACCTTTACCTCTGTGTGACACACCCACAGCGGTGCTCACCAAGCCACCAGAGCCTCTCTCTTGGACTGGCCTACATCCCAAACTGGCACCTGCCAGTCCACACCTTCACCACAGTAAGGCATCAGCAGCTGCTTTTGTAATCCCTTTGGAATGCAATGGTCATGGTTCCTAAGTGACTAATGACTTAACACTCACAAGTGTTTTTCCTAGCTCAAATCCACCCACCTATCATCCAAAATGGTTCAAAGTATTTTGTTCCTCCTTTTTCCTTTGACATTACAATGCAGTTTGCTAACTTTCAGAAAAAAACATATTCTTTTATTTCATTCATCTCCTGAATAATTTTTGTCTATTGTTCAAGTATTGCACTATCATATCCTCAGGGTAACAAGGCACTTGCATTGTTACTACTGTTTACTAGAAAGAGATTGGTATAACTTCCATGAATGCTGTGGAGTCCCTTCTGTGAGTCTGTCCAAGTAGGCATACAAGAAGAGTCTATAGTCCATCTGAACTGGGGCTGCTTAAGTAACAATGAGGAGTCCCTCTGGCATGTCACAGGTGCTTTGTGCTATGTGGTAGAGTTGGGGGCAAATGCTGCCTCCAGACACTTTTTAAGATCTTACTGGCTTTCTGGTCCAGCAGTCCAAAGTTCAATAGAGCATTAGCTTGACTTTCCATTCAGTTCATCTACAGAGATCATTTTCAGTCAGAGATTGACTTAACTGGTGTACAACTATTGGCCATAAACCAAGTCACTCACTGGCCTGCACCTAGTTCACTTGTTCTTGGAAGCCAGCTTTTGGCCTTAAATGCTGTCCTCCCATAAAGGGTTTAAGTGGGCTTTACTACACCTGAGTTCTGAAAGATGACTTCCTGATGCACAAGCTATGGTGAAGAATTTCTAATTCTTCTAAAAATTTAAGATTACGTTCCGTTTGATTCCCAAAGAAGACTTTCAGCAAGTGCAAAATAGCAGCATGCAAAATACCATGTTGAGCCAAGCCATTATCTCCGTGTTTGTCAAATGGCTCTCAAATTGGGCACCACCCAGATTCTCTTTGAACATTTACTATGCTTCATTTGGTTACTGTAATTTACCAAAAAAGGAAAAATTTCCTTTTTTTTTTCCAGGAATGCATCCTGGCTGCCTTCTAGTATCACGGTTGCAGTAAGGTGAAACAGTGCTTTGAAAGTCCACTGTAATAGGTTTTGAGTGTGTAAAAATGAGTTTACGAATGTTTCTGCAGATACAGAAAAATTATTTCCAAAGAAAAACAGACAAATGTCAAACTAACAGTCTCTGAATTGAATGTAAGATGCTCTTGTTATCAACATGGACACTCAGAGCGGTAAATGAAGAATCAACTGTTCCTCAGTTTATTTTAAATTACAATGTAAAAATTTGGTGATCTGATGTTTGTAACTCCTTAGCACAGGAAGCAAGGACTTTGTTCTGCTAGTTTTCTCATTATTTTCTTATACAAGATTTCTTGTGACATTTTATTTGATTTATACACACACCATTAATTGTATATCTTCATGTTAGTCAATCACATTCACCATCTTAAAGGTCTTGATATCTGCAAATTTATCACAGGAGAAATTAACAAGTAGATGTTTGCGACCCGTCTCAAAAGGGATGAGTTTAAGCTTTGTGCTGGATTTCTCACTGGCTTTCACTGGTGGTACACTAAAAGTAGGAGAAAGAGAAAAAATATAAGGAAAAATATAAGCTGTAAACAGCTGACTTTCTTAACTGTCTCTCATCTTAAGTAACTCCTATCAGTTCAGTGTAGGATGACCATGAAAAGGCCATAAAGGACTATATTTTATATATATTTAAATACTCAAACCCATGCATTAAGGTCACTCATGAATACATGATGCGGTGACCAAGATAAGCACACAAAGGTGGACATATTAGTATCATATGAGATTAAACTTCATGCAGAACAGAGGATGTAAAACACATCACTGAATTATTAAAAAAAAAAAAAAATTTTACACTATTAAGAATGTTAATAGAGACTCCTGAATTATGATAGATTATAGCATCAAGAAAATCTCAGTGCTTACATGGCAGGAAATTCTGAATGCAAATTAAGATGTATTAAACCAGTATATTTTATAATTCTTGGAAACTCATGTTTATGGTTTTTCCAAGGAGCCTTACACTGTCATATTGTCTTGGCTTGCCTGAGGATAAAGTTCTATGTTATAAAGCAACATGAGGTTGCTAAATTCCCTCAGGACAGTTTATGGAGTAGACCATTACTAGTTGCTCAAGCACAAATGACAATGTTAAGTTACTTGGTGTGTTTGTGTTTATATATGTGTGTATTCAGTTAAAAGTCAGCCCATCCCAGGTATTTTTTAAAAATAACTGCCTTTGCTAGCATATGTAAAAATGTGTGTGCAATCTTGTATATGTACAAAGTGGGGGACAGTCTGAAAAATTCTGTTTCAGTTGTGAAATAAGGAAAAAAACCCAAGATGCAAAATCCTCAAAGCATAAGAATAGGAACCTGGGATCTATAGTAAAAGGAACCTATTTTATTCCAGTCTTATTCACTATCACAACACCATCTAATAGTTTCTTGAATTTAGTAATAATCTAACATAATTATTTTGTAAAGTTATGAAAGGAGAGCTTGAAAATCAGTGTGCCTGTAGTTTAGTTTTTGTTTTGGATTTTTTAAATTTTTTTATTTTTTTATTAAAACCCAACCCAAACTTTAATTGCAATATTCACCATTTTCCCTGTTCTCTTTCTGCTTGTCTTATGGATTTCAGCTGTGCTCAAGTTCCATACTTTAGTAAGGTAAATTCAATCATCTAAGGGATAGCTGCCGGTCATGGTTTAGTCTGTTCTTTAAAAGCTATCCTCCTTATAGTTGTGATTTATTCTCTCTGGAATAGCCACACATGAAGTATACCAGGGGGTTGCACTTTTTAGAGGTACCACCCTTTGAGATCACAACCTGTGTCAAAACTATCTGTGTTCATTTTTATACACTTGTGCATTCGCTTTATATGTGTAGGTCTATCTGTTTGATGTAACACAAATTGTTTAGAAGGCTGAACACCAGATTGGCACTTGCAGTTCATTTAATAAATTGAAGGGGAAAAAAACCTCTGTGGTTAATATATGCTATAATTTGTGTATAGTATGGACAGAAACAGTCCCTATAATCAGAACAAGAAGGTTCAACCCATCTGGCCTACAGTATCATAGACAGCAAAATTTACTGCATGAGTAAGAATGTATTTTTTTCTGAAACCGTGAGTCCTGCTAGATAGGCAGGAAAAAAGTTCTGTCCAATTATGACAGCAATTATTTGACTCCTCAAACTATGCAGGCAAAGCCTATCTTGGATATGATGGTGCTAAGTTGTGTACTTCATTACGAGATGTTACATTGACTGGCCTCCTAGCAAGAAGAAAGTGCTCTCATCCCACTGTTCAGTTCCAAGTCATCCATGCCTACATTCTTGCTCATGTATCTTTAATAGCAGGAAGAAGTCACTTACTCTATCTCAAGGATTCCTCTGAGCAGGTCATTGCCTTCTACCTGCAGCACACAGTTCATCAATTCCATATCAATAGGATTGGTAAATATCACTTCCACATCCACTTCTTTATTCACTTTTGCTTCACCAAGTACCTGTGCAAATAAAATGCTTGAGAGGCCAGGTTCTCAGTATTCTTTTCTGTCCAAACCTTCTCAGTCATTGGAAGAAGAGGTGTTATGAGATGCTATGATGGGCCATGGCAGAATGTGAGCAGAATATTTTTGGTGAAGAAAGTGCTTATAAGAGCTCATTTTCCCCTTTCTCTGACACTGCGATTAGGGCAAAGGGACAGCAATTTACCTGTATGTCAATGGCAGGATTGTCGAGGGTGATGTCTCTTTGCACTAGCACTTGAATCCCACCTTCTACATGACATAAAGCTGTTACCTGGATTGTGTTGTCTGTAGTTAACTGCTGTTGATACTCAGTATACAGTATCTTAATGGGAAGTTGTATTTCTGGAAGAAAAAGAAAAAAAAAATAAAATTGATACACACTTTTATAAGCCCACAGTTTCATACCTGAAATTAGTATGTTCCTTTTATGATGTGTCTGGGACTAGGAGGGCCTTCAGCCATCACTGTCAAATTCAATTAATGCAAATCTATTGTTTTGCTATGAAGACTGAGTGGTTTTCTTTCAATGTAATGTTATCCCTCCTCCATTCCCTACTGCCAGATTGACTGGCTTGTATTCCTCCTAGTTGCTCTGAAAGAAGACAGCTGAAGTTTAAGGAGTTTACCAGTGCACTTCATTTGTTATAGGACATTATCTGATAGGCCTCATCAGTTCTACTTGCTCATGATACACTGAGATGAGATGAATGACATCTTCACGTTTCTTTTGTCTTCCCTAGTCACTTTTTGTTGTAATGTGTTTTTATGGTAGTTTCCATGCTGTTCAAATGAAGGGATGTTGGATGGAAAGGGGTCTCCTCTGTCTCTGAATCCAGGCCATCTTCACATTATTGACTATTTGTACAATAAACACCAAGTTCAGAAAAAAAGTAGAGTAGCTGCGCTGCTTGTAAACACTGTAAGCCACAAAGAACTTTCCAGCAGTAGACAGCAAATGAAAAACACAAGAAAAGATCACAAGTCACCAACGCAAAGTCCACAAATGTAAGCAAGAAAATGGGGGCAGGGTGAATTTCTTAGATTCATGCAGTAGCAAACAGATTTAACTACAAATCCTAGCAATCAGAGAATACCTCCAGAAGAGGGGAAAAATCTCTTTCAATGGTCCCTGCCATCAGATCTGGGGAAAACCCTCCCTGCTGACTGTAAATTCAGCTACTGGTTTAACACAGCCTGTGTGAGTACAAGATATTATGAGGTGCCTGCATGATGTCAGTGCCATTAGGCATATAAACTTTGTCTTCACCGTGAGTCCAATTCCTAATGCTTTAGAGGAAGCTGATAGATCCCAACTTCAGAAATCAAATTACATATTAAAGAAATGAAATATTATTTCTGCTTCTCACTAGTGACTCGAAGCCTAAGATTAATACAACATACTATCAGTTCCAAATCTGTGATCTTCCAGTTCACTTTAGGGATGCTGATATATCTATTAATCCCAAGCTCCTAACAGTAACTTAATGTCATCTTTCAACAATACTCATATCTAAGTAGAGAATTTCTTCCAAAAGGTTATCAAACTGCATCTGAAAAAAAAATTAAAATAAAAATCTGAGGTCTTTTACTCCTCAACAGTTTTTCAATAGAAAGTTTCTCTTCTGTGGATCTTAGCAGGCTGTTTCAGCTGTTTCTATTCCTCACACTTTAATTCATTCTCTAATGTGCTAATGAGTAAGATTCTTGTTTCTGCTGTTTGCCGTGTCCTGTTACCTTTCAGTAGGGACCCTCATAATTGACCAGAACGCATTTAGTTATTGATTTCTATGCTCTTATGTTGCCCTTATTTTCTTTATGCAAACTTTGTTAAATAAAACTTCATGTTTACTCACCATCTTCTTTTCCTTTTTTTTAGATACGTCTTTCAAACTGTGAATACTACTTAAGGAAATGGTGGTGTGAAACATGCCTTTTCAATGTTTATAAGTGTGACACAATTTTTTTTTCAGCCTTTTCTGCACAGAAATTTAAGATTGCATTTTCTTAATTTTTTCCCCTGGATTTGACCAGCTTCTAATGCCCATTTACTGATAAAGTAATTTTACACCTACGATTAAGAGTGATTTGAAAAATTACCTTCCTTGGGAGACAGAGTGGCAGATATGGAGTCCTTCCTGATCTCATGAACTGGTCTTCTAGTGTACACAGTGCTCCAAGCACTCATATTTACATGAACAGTCTTAGCATCAGACTGTAAGTTTTCAAGAACCAGAATTAGACTGAGGTCTTTGCCAACTTCTAAAGGGCCAGCCACCTTGAACCTCCCTGAGATGTCAGGCTTTTGATCGATTTCCTGTGGCGTTGGTGCTGTAGGATCAAATTTGTCCTCAAGACCCAGCTTCTTACGGGCTTTTTTAAAAACATCTCTTTCTTTTGTAGAGCCTGTCAGAGACAACCATGAAATTTATTCTTAGTGTTTAACATTCATCTCTTATTTTACATGACTGCTAGAGACAAGCCAGCAGAATGTTGCATCTGTACTTGCAGATGAACAGAGACTGTTTTCTACAGCCACACCTGATTTTCTGGTACTGCCATTAGTAATGTCACTGCCCCTCTAATAGCTTTTTTTTCGGTAACACAAAATCTTAAGTTTGAAGTTGCTCACTCATCCCATTTCTCTCCCTTTATATGGTTGTAATACTTAGAAATGTACTCTTAATTTGCTAATAGAGAAAAGGCTGTGATACAAGGGAAGGCTGATAGCACTATGTGGTGGGTTGATGTGGGCAGCAGCCAAACATCCACCCAAGCCTCTCTCTCACTTCCCATTGCTGCAGGATGGGGAGAAAACAAAGGAAGGCAAGAAGGCTCATAAATCAAGATAATGACAATTCAACAGGGAAAGTATGAGTAAACTGCATGAGTAAAGCAAAAAGAATATTTTCACTACTACACATCCACCATCCACTCCATGTTACAGAAGGCAGATGTTCAGCCACTTCCTGGAAAGCAGGGCTTCAACACATAGGATGGTTGCTTGGGAATGCAAATGCCATAACCACAAAGGCCCCCACTCTTCCCTCCCCATTTCCTCCACCTCTTGCTGAGCTGTTATTGCTGAGCACTGGCGTGGACTATCCCTTTGGTCAGTTTGGGTCCACTGTCCTGTCTGGGTGCCCTCCCAGACTCTTGCCCACCCTCACACTATTCACTGTGGCAGCGAGGTTTGACCTGCTGTTTGACCCTTTGAAAGAGTTGCTTTTCCTGGACTAAGTGCTGATTTAGTTTAGGTTTCTTTAAGAGGCCTTTCATTCTGGTGTCAAATAACTGGGCTGTAGACTAATTTTCACAAAGCAGAGGCAGTCAGTAAACATTAGCAGCAGATAGGTGGAACAGTGAATATTCTGCTCAGGGATACTTCGACTTCCTTTACTTAGGTCCCACAAAGCAACTCCATATTAGAAAGGGCAAGGCAATATTTTTTTATTCTTTACCTTCTCTTCCCTTTTCTATTAGAACTTAATGAACTGAGTATAAACTTTGCTCCTACCTTTATGGTTGCCCAAAATTGACACTAAGAGACTCCTAGCCTCAAGTTTATATGTGTTTGGGGATGAAGTAGATATGTAACCAGAAGAACCAGTGTTTTTATTTACCTTCTTCATATTTATAATCAGTTGTGACATCCACACGATCATCTCTACCAACTGCCTTTGTGCTGATGAATTGGCCAATTACAGTAGACTTAGAGAACATTAATGTTTTCTTTCCAGTTGTGGCCTCATAATTCCAGTACATACAGTCAGCATTCACTTCTGCAAATATGAATGGGCAGTCATAGTCCAGATCCACATCTCCTTCTTTGATGGCATTCCGTGAGGCAGGACCACACTGATAAATTCCTATGGCATAGGAAAAAAAAAAAAAAAAGTTGACCTGAGCAGCTCTCTGACAAGAAGCAGATTACTAGACATCTATCAATGACTCTTGGATTGCTTAGTGCTGTTGTCCAATTCTAGCCCTTTAATCCATATAGACCCTCATACCAGGCCAAGCATCGGTGTATTTTGTTTTCATGCTGAAGTGACACTTGATTTATTTTATATTATTCCTTGATTTTCAGTAACTCAGGATGCCTACATTGGAAATAGAGGAATTGCTGCAAAAGACTGGTCCTAGAAGTCTAGTTTGTTTCTTGGCACCCACAAATAATCTGAGGCTTTTCTAATGCAACAGATAAAGTATTCTTTTCTGCCACTTTCTTTCTGAGCAAAATGAGGAATTACTTTTTACAGTGGTTTTACTTTCTTTTTTTTTTCCTTCCCCCTTCTCTCTGAAGATGACTGACTTTGTGATTTTTCACCATTATTGTTGAAATTAAATCTGTGTACCTCCACTTTCTTCTTGGGGAGTTGCATCTAGAACTTGCCATCCACTGTATGAGGGGCCCAAATCACTGCGGGAAAACCAGCTTTCATTCCAGACATGGAAATTCCTATGTACAAAAATGAAGAAAGTAAGCTACTAGTATATATGTCTAAATTGCTGATGGAATGGTTCACATCTTTTAATTAGACATCTTAGTCAAATGTATTAAATGCCTTACTTTGCATAGGTTCTTGTCTGAGAATGATTCCATTCTGATCCTAACTGGATTAATTGAATATTGTGGAACAGACATAAATGTTCAAGCCCAGAAAACAAATTTATAAAATTATACAAAATGTCGTGAGCCAGTTTTTCTCTAAAAGTTCTGAGCACATGCACTTCTTCAGTTTTAGCTGGTTTACTTATAGCACAATGCTGCAGTTATCACTGAATGGATCCAGAACAAGCAGAGGAGTAAAGGCAAAAAATGAAGGACTGCACCCATTCTTTGCTGAGTACAAGCTTGTCTGAATTTCACTGATGCTCAGTAGTGGCATTAATTGTATTATTTTCACTGTTAATGATGTCACTAGAAAAAAAAAAAGGCAGGGAAGCTGATTCTGTTGAACTTTTACAGTTTTAACATGAACTTGTTTTGAAGAATAGTTCCAAACTGTTTGATATTCCAACTGTTTGATATTTGCAGTGTAATATCACAAATTTTCAGTCATCTGTGGTATCATAACTGTTAACTTTGCCTGCTCTGGCTTCAGTTAGCTGTTGTAACTCATGTAACAATTCTGCTTAACCAAAAAAAGAGCACCAAGTTTTGTTGTATTATTTTGCAGTATTGCAAAATTTTGTCATATTATATCGTCGTATTTTGTAGTATTATATTGCAGTATTTTTAATTGATCCATAGTGTTTGTAGTTGTTTTTAAGGCAATATTTAAGAAGATGACAAAGCATTTGTCATTAGAATCTGTATTCTGCACCTGAAGACTCTATAGGCATTGAGAGGTCCTACCATTAAATATCATAAAGCCTTACCATATGCTGTCAGCTGACCTGTCCAGATGATTTCCAGAAGCATCGTAAAACTCATCTACACGCAGATTTCCATCTGCATCATGGGCAGAACTGAAGTTTGTAATTGTACGAGTGGGAATCCCCAGACATCTAAGCACTAAAGAGTGAATTAGAAGGTCAGTCAGAAAGCAGTATTTCTGGAATATGAAGTTTCATATAACATACTAATGTCTTGAAAGGCTTTCATGTGTGAAGTATTATCAGTGCTTCTTTTAATAGAATCTGTTCAGTGTCAGTTATGTGCATGATATAAAACATACCTGTAGTGAACACCGCTGCAAAAACCCAACATTGTCCATATCTAACAGGTTTGAATCCTGATTTCTTCCAGTTTTGCAGGATTTCACCACTTCCAGTCCAGCTGTTTGGACTTTTCCCACCCTCATAATTTCCACTCCAGTTTCCTAGCAGCACCCCTTGGTCATCATTGGCATTCACCTATAAAAATAGTCACTAAAATTACGATGAGGTAAATTAAGAGTTTACAAGAAATGTAGTAGCATTTGGGGAGCAGGAAGGAGAAAAGTCTCAAATTACATTTTAGTGGACAAAAGTCCACTGCTTCATGCAGCTTATCTTTTTAGGGAAATTAAATACGTGTCGTCTCAAGAAATGGAGAGCATTTAATCACTGTTTCTCCTACTAAAATATACAGTAGCATCAGGCAAGAAGGCAAACGCCAGTTTTCAGTGATCCTTCCTGACATGAGGTGACAACTTCACCACTGTTTGGTTGAATGGCATCATCAAAGCATATCGTGCAGCTGGGCTACATTAGAAAAAGTGTGACCAGGAGATTGACGGAAGCCATAGCCCCCTTTCATTATCCCTAGCAAGGCTATGCCAGGAATCCTCTATCCACTTTAGGGTCTCTCAGTTCAAGGGGATGTTGAGACACTGAAGAGGGAGGGAATGAGTCAGGGGCCCTGGAGCACAAAATCTACAAGGGGAAATTGAGAGTACTCAGTTAGTTCATTCTGGATAAGAAGGGGATAAAGAGAATGGAATAGCAGCTTACAAGTACTTGAATGGAGCACACTAAATTGTCAGATTACAACTTTTCTGTGTGCTGGCAGGTTATATTACAAGAGGCAGTGGCAGGAAGTTGTAGCTTGGGAAAATCATGTTTGACATAAAAGAAAAATTTCTCGCTAAGAGGGTAGTGCAGCTCTGGACCGGGCATCCAGAGAGGCTGTGAAATCCGTGGCTGAGCTGATCTAGCACCACTGTAGTTCCACTTCAAATGGAAGGTTGGACTAAAGACCTCCAAAGGTCTGGTCCTTTTACATACCACCCCATGTCTTATAATTTCAGTTTGACCACTGGATATCAAAGTGTAAGTGTCAGAAACACTGCAGATGACATAAATCTGTTAGGCTTAGATCAAAGGACCACCTAGGTGTTTCTTTGGCCCACATTTTTGGTGCATACAGTCAGTGGCCTAAAATTTCTGAGAACTTATATATACTTACTTTCACTTAGTTTTCTGCTACAAAGAACAGTGAGTTGGTAGTTTGGACTTTTTGAACATACTGCTTACCATTGCACTGAGAACACGGCCCAGGTATTTGGGGTCATTTCGGTGAGATACATCTGTGGCAGGATCCTGACGATAGTTTAAGCTTCGATCCAGCATGGAAAGGCAAATATTGAGAATATCTCCTTGAAACTATGTTAGAGAAGTAAGTTAGTGTTCTGGAAACACAGATTACTAATAATCAGGATAAATAGAGCCATGTGAGCATTTAATTTTTTTTTTTTTTAACTGCTTTAGGAAGTGCTGCAGCTCAGCCAGGAGTTACCATATAAAAAGGCAGCCTGAGCAAACTGAAAGTTAGACCTCAAAGAGCTTTTCAAAACTTAGAATCTGCAGACTTACGGCTGGGTCTTTGACTCTTAGCATTGCTACAGTACTTTACTGCCCAGCAGACACTAAGGTTTCTGCTGCCTGCTCCTCCGAGTCCTAGGTCATGTCACTGACTAGTCAATTACAAATCCTCATATTAATCAATATAACAGGGCTTGTCACAAGTTCTGATTTCAATACCGCAGTGTCCTGCTCTTCAGAGGTGTATGTGATGAATTGGAAAAAGCAAACAAGCCCTTGTCACCCATTTCATGTGCAAACCAGAGCACAGAACACTGTCTAGTGCTTCAGTGCCGCATTTACCTGGCCAAAGTTCCATCCAAAGCTGTTGATATGATTTTTATTGCCCGCAAAAATGATGCCAAACTCTTCTAGCACATATTCCTCACATTCTGCCTTGTTAGGCATGAACACATCATCACCTGAAAAACCAAAACAGTCTACAACCACAGTCTCCATTACAATGTGCTACCACTCATTTTCCATCAGTAAGAACACTTGCAGATATCCACCTTTTGCTGTTCTTGCTGTTACAAATGGATCATGTTACAAATGAAACTCAGGGTGGCTGGGGAGTGTCTGAGTGAAGACAGAGGTATGACACTCTCAAATCTGGGAGAAGATGGCAACTGGTAGATATGACTCTTGGTTCTGCAGAGACCAGACACGTTCTTCTAAACTTGTGCAGAAGTAGGAAAGCTCTGCCAAAAGCATAACTTAATATTTTAGGAAAGAAGCTTTCTAGTAAGCACATGATAGAGAGCCAGTTTTATGTACCAGAAGGTCCTAACAAACTGTTAAGCCCTATTCTCACTGATATGTGGTGAATCTTCAGCCCACATATTAAAGAAGCATAGATCAAATGGAGAAGCTGCAAATGTTAATGAAGCTACAAGCAATTTAGTTCTTTCTGGGGAAATCCAACATGTTCTTACCTGAAGACCAAGGGTTAAAGAGCAAAACAAAAGTGCCAAGGATTGCTGGAGAAGAGCTGCCACTTGAAGTAGTTTGAACACTCAGTTTGTAACGTCCAATGACAGCATTAGGCGGGCTGGAAATGGAGATGCTCACAGATCTGGAACTGGTAGACTGCAGGATTGCACTCCAGCTCTCTGTGCTCATTGTGCTGGAAATACCAAATGTGGCTTGGGTCTTAGCCAGCTTTGAGGGTTTTGGACCTTTTGAGGAGAATAAACAACATATATTTTTTCCCCCAGCTTGCTGAAATACTGATTTAATTGTCAATAAACTCAGAAGGGATGTAACCCTCCCCTCTGATGAATTTGTGCCATATATTGGAAACTGAAGGAAGCTATCACTGCTAGCTGAGTTGGGAGCAGTACAACAAACACCTCAAACACTTCCATTATGATGTGAACCAGCATGTTGGCTCTGAGGAATTATCTTGCCACCCTATACTGCATATCAGGCCAAAAGAGTGTCACAAGATAGCATTACTGTTTCTGTGAAAGAAGTTGAGAGCCATACCTGTTTCTGCGATGAATGTTAAATTTTGTTCAGGCTGTCCTGTTCCATTGAAGGTGACAGTGAAGGCCTGTCCTCTCCTCACAATTAACTCTTCACTAGAAAATTTACTTGTGTGGTGATCTCTTCCATTTTCTTTCAGGTGCCAGTTGGTACTTGGCTGCGTTGCAGCTATGAAAAGTGAGAAGATCAAGAAAACTTGAGGGGGACATCCAAGGAGGAAGGAGCACAGACACACTCTCAAGAATTGCCTGTTACTTTCTACAGGTAACTACTACCCATGTGAGGCTTCCACCAAGAATAGAAATAACTTATTTATAGCATTTTGTTATTTTTAATTGTTGTTTTTCAAGCAAGACTTGACCTTGTGTAGATCTGTTAGAGATTATCTGCATAATTAAATAGAGAAGGATTAGCATATCTGGTACTAAAGGAAAATCAGAAAGGCATCTGAGAGGGGAGAACCCTAACAGAACTGAATATTTGAGAGTTATTTGGATAAAGAGTCTGGCTGAACTCAGCTAACTCCAAGACATGGTGCTGTACTAACATAAGCATAGCCTTGCTGCTTCTGAATAAAAAATAAAGACGCCTGATTGAGCTGAGAAACACGCGTTTTAAACGACGACATGTGATTTTAGCTCCATTTACATGCCATGTACCTCTGATATAAGTGACAGCTGCTATCTGTGGGAAGCACCCAACAAGAATATATTGATGGATGCTGGTCTGCTATTTGGCAGTGGGAGAGATGGCAAAATTGGAACGAACACTACTAAAATAATGTATGTGAAATAATATGTTGCAGAAAGCTTTTGCATGTGAACTGTGACTTCAGTCAGAGGCCAAAGAACAAGCATCTGAGACTGGTTTGTCTCTGGCATCATTAGAGCCTATGATAGTTCTCTAGTAGAAGATCAAATGTTTTAAATAAAGTGCAGAAGTACGGAAGAAAAAGGGATTTTTAATTTTTTTTTCCTAAGGGCACTGTGTGCTTTTCAAAAATATATTTATTTTTCTCCATCCTTCCCCCCCAACCCCAAAAAGCAAGACTAGGCAAGAGTGTGGTCGTTAGTAGGGGAACACAATTATCCTGTGCCATTATTCAGTAAAAAATCATTATCCCATGTTCAACCAGATTTATTAGGGTAGGGTAAAGATATTTTTACAACATGATCTTAAGTCTATCAAGTTTAGGTAAGTCTTGAAATAACTACAGCAATGTAGTCATAGTTAAGATGTGGGGAACATCTTTTTACAGCATCGGGGTGAGCAGAACATACTTCAGTTTTTCAAGAACATACCTATTTTAAAAAAAACCCACATCTTTAGAACCTTAGCAGTGAACCACATCTATTCTAGAACAAGCTGAGAGGTAGGGAAGATGTGTCTTTAAAAAGGCAGGAGTTATCTGGCAAGGTTGGAAAAGCAACATGGGACCATTTATAATAATTACTAGACTTGTCAGTTTACATACATACAAATATTTGCATGTAAAAAAAAAAAAGCCTATTGCAACAAACAGACCACCAAAAAAGACCTCTAAATTTTTGTATCCTCTCTGCTTTAACTTCAGGTTTCAACCTTCTCTGCTTACTGTAGCCTCCCTCAGCCTTTGCAACGATGCCTTCAAGTTCTGATTTGTTTTTCTCTTGTGTCATATTTGAGAGTCTCTCATTTTCATTTGCCTGACAACTTCAAGTATCTACAGACTTTCCCTTCTTTCCTATTTGCGAAGTAAAGTACAGCATTTTTCCATTAGATAATATCCTTGCTCTCCAGAATCTCATTCGGATAATCTTGCTTTTCCCATGCAATTGGGAAAAAATGCAATGCCTGTGAAAAATCCTTGCCTGAACTCTTGATGGAAGACTTTTTCTCTTCCTTCTTTCCCACCGCCCCCTCCCTACATTGGATCAACACTCCTTAGAGAAGTTGTGATTTTTCAGTGTCCATTACAGAGCTGAATATGAGGTGTGGATGTAAGAAAATAACAAACAGCACCACAGAAGGGGCTTCCTCCTTGCTCACCTTGGCCCATATCTGATCAATATGTCCTGTATAAGCAGCTTCAGAAGCTTTCCTCTGAATGGCCTCCTTTACTTCTGTTGTCTCACAGAATGGCTGGTGCCTTTCACTTGTTTAAAAGTCTAGGTGTAAAGGTGCCTGTTTGCAATATTTCCTGTGGGGTGGAGCTTGAATAAGCTCCTTTTCTACCCAGCCTTTATCTTACCAGCAAGGCTTGAGGATTCATTTTTCATTCATTTTTTCACTCTCTTAGTCCCCACATCCTGATCTCATTTCCTTGCAATTTAACAACTGAAGCTGGACAACATTTATTCCTAACTGGCCATTTAAGAGTTTCTTAATGTATTCAAACTTATAAGAATATTGGCATTTAGCTGCTTTTATTTCTGTTACAATTATAAATTTACCTGAACAGCATAACTACTTCTTGCACCACATTGTTTTTAATTTGTAGTACTTCATGAGCAATATTTACAGTGACTTCTTTAAATTAATTCACTGAATCCATTGTTTTCCTGACACTGATTTTTTTTTCCTGCTGCATTGTAATAATCACAAAGCAATGAGCAAGCTGTTGCCTCCGCCCCAAATTTAATCAAGCTAAAGAACCAATTTTTCATTTATCACATAATTACTCTTTAACATTGTCAAACAGACAAGCACTCCATGTCATATTTGCATGACATACTACAGAGATGATAGGTAAGATCATTTGTGACTTGTAATAAAATAGCTATCATTGTTTTCAGCTGGTATACTACTAATTTTTTTTTTCATGCAGAACATGCAACTGGCAATGCCAATTTTTGTACAAAAATCTTTTCCTGAATTTCAAGGAGAATGATTTTTGCTTATGCTTTGCAGGTGGCTCCACTTTCTGTTAAGAGAGAGACTAATTCTGATACTTTCATGAAACAACTTGTAGAATTTGTTATACTCAATGCACAGCCTTAAGGATACCTCTGAGTGATTGATACTCATTACGCTATGTGCCTTCCCAAATTCAGAGTTTCAATTGGCTGTGCTCAGTATTCAGCAGCACAAATTGTTTCGTTTTCAGGTTTGGATTATGTTTGGAAATTCTAGAATTGGAACTTTGTCAGCCCATTTCATATACAGACATATTTTATTCCTATTTCCCATAAAAGGGTGTTATTAGAGCAAACAGTTTTAACTGGGTATGATTCAGACTACTGCTTTGAATCTCTGTTTATTAATAATATTAATATAATATAGGGACTGTATTTTTATCATGCACAAAGCCCAACTGTGATTTAAAAATTGTAATACTTTAATTCTAAAATTTAGATTTCTTAGAATTTAATTTTAAAATGTTCAGTCCGAACTTCAGAGGTTAAAAGATACTAAGCTACACTCTCCTACCCATACTTTTAAATTCTCTTAACTGACACACTAACAATTTTTAGAATAGATTTGCTTTAATATTTCAGCCTATCCTTGGATACATAGAAACTCTTTATCTTTGTGTCAAGACTAGTTACTGTTGAAAGAAAGAAAAAAAAAAGTCAGCAATTATTCACTATATAGCTGCTGATGCTGATTTGGTCACATATTTTACCTTTTTTGTGTGATGGCAGTAGTGTGCTGGATATCACTGTCCTCTGTTGGTCAACGGCATAACGGTTTTTGGTATTTGATTGTATGATAGTACAGTTATAAACAGTATGTTCTAAAAACCAGATGCAGTCCATTTATTCTGGAAGATAATATGTCAAGGAGAACAAGTTGTGTCTGTTGCTTCAGCTTCTGGTGCTTATCACCAGATGTGGCTAAGTTTCCTTTCAGATCTCTCCTGTGCTTTGTTTGTGAAACAGATGAATGATACATAACAGACTGTGGGATTAAAGATTATGGGCAAAGCTTGCGAATAGGGTTGAATTAATGAGAAATACTAATACTAGTCAGAATACTAGTCAAACAAAATGCATCTGACCCAGATTGTTTCCTGTAAGACAAGTAGTTATTTGCAGAGCTTGTATGGTGGCTGTAAATGTAAGGATTGCACAGGTAGGTGCTTGAAACTGGTGGACAGCAAGAGAAGATTCTTTCAGACCTCAGAAAACAAAAGCTCTAAGACATTTTAGGATTTTGTTTCACATGCCCAGATTAAGCTATATCAGGATCATATTTGCAAAGTGATTCAGTCATATAACTCACATCCTTTTCCAGAGATACCCAGATTTCTTTCCTCATTGCAGTAACTGTGTTAAACATATAGTAGAAGAGTTCAGAACTGACTAGTGAAGGACATCTTTTGCAGTAGACTAATTTTCCACAATTCTCTTTTTTTGTATTGCTGTTCTCTTCACCACCAACTCTGTATGAATACACAGGGACACTTGAATTCTATTAAATGTTACATACTATTAATTGTGCCTTTGTTTCGGCGTAAGAAATAAATCCCTAGAACAGCCTACTTGCTCCTTTATTCTTTCTGAGCACAGCTCTTTCTTGCATACCCATGAAGCACCATGCTACAACCATATGCCCATGACTCACTAAGGACTGCTTCAGTACCCTGAGATGTTTGGGCTATTCTGTCTCCCCTCACATTCCCTTGTTAGATAATTAATCAAGAAATTTTGTCAACAAAGCCCACTCCTGCCATCCTAGATACAGGAATTGTTGTTTTACAGTTACACTGCATTTGTGAACCACACTAGGGAGAAACCTGGGCCCCTAGAACAGTGGTATGACTGACTTGCATCAGCAGTCTTCAGGACTAGTACTCTAATGTAGATTGTTCAAGTCCATATGAAAAAGCATTTGGCTCTCTTCTGGACCCTATTATGTTGTCCAAGACATCTTACTTTTTGCCTTCGTCTTCCATTTGCAATGCCCCAAATAGCAGGGGCATTTTGAATTTTGAAGCCTGCAGTCTGTTGTAGTCTGAAGCCTCCCCAAAGTTCTCCAACAGACTTTGAAGGCAGCCAAACTTGACACAGTCAGTTCCTATACTGTCTATGTAAAGTAGAATACTCTTGTTAGCTGAGCTGATTTCTTTCATTTGGATCTTGATTCATTCCAGATAAGATGGCTTGTTCCGGAAGGGAGACTGTCAGTGATGCAGTAGTGACATGTACTATTAAGTGAACTTCACACAGGAATAAGCCAAACTGACCGTGTACAGACTGGGATGGATCTATGCTACGTTCCCTGGATAGCTCCCTCATAGTCACACGCAACCTGTTATTTATAGCCTATTATATTTAAATGTATTTCCCTACTTCTCCCACTTATGCACACATCTTATCAGTTGGAATGGAGTAAAGACATTATTTGGAAATTCTAACTTCCAGCTACTGCGGCACACTCATCAGCAAAGAATACCTCTTTGCAGGCTCCCATCACTATGTCACTCTGCTGATTTCTTCTAAGAATATGACATGCTGTCCCATTCTGCAGTCAAGCACTCTTAATTCCAATACAAAACCAAGATGATTGCAGGTGTGACTCATGTCTTAGTTATAATGACAATGAAGCTTAAAAGTGACAGACAGAAGCTGAGATAAAATTGCTGAATCCTTAGTAGCGGTAGTGTCCCGCAGACTATCAAAACCCTTAAAAAAATAACACAATGGAATTTATAGAATCTTTATAGATGCTTTTATGCATTTATATGCTTTTCTTTATGCACTATCTTCTAGATTCCGTTGAAATAGATCTATTAGAGATTGGCCCACAGATGCATTAAAAGTTTTGAGGAAAAAAGTGTGTATATTTACAGGATGTGTGTGTCAGAGGGTTTGGAAGGAGGGGGAGAGAGGGAGAGTGAAAAATCATGTGCACACACACCTGCACACAGACATTTACGGTTTTTCACATTATAGTTGTGTGTAGCAATGTGAGGAGCATTCCTGGCATTTTTGACATCTCTAACTGAACTTGGGCTTGGATATTTCTTATTCTGTGGGTATGTCACAAACAAGTGGTGAGCATCATCAGCAAATACCAGTTTGTTCAGTAAATGCTGCTATTGCTTCTTACATTTCATGCAATGAGAAAATTGTGGTTAAGAAGAGAATGGTATATGACAAAAGAGGAAGTTTTTAGGAATCACCTTGCTAAAATGTCTTGGCTAAATTATTGGCAAATCATTGCTTAAGAGGATGTGTTACAGTGCAGAAACAACTGGTTTGTGGGTTTTCCGCCACTGCTGTAGATGAAGGTTTTTAGTGTCCACTTTACCATATAGTTCTTTTGTTAAAAAAAAATATTACTTTTCTACTCAGTCCAGTCTTTCAGCTTGACTTGTCAAATTGTGTTTCGCCATTTAAGCTCTGCACAGTGGAGGACGTTTATGAGGGAATCAATAGCCTTGTGAATGTTGTATGCACCTCATTCCCTCCCAGTCTATGTTCCACTTTTAAACAGGTGAACATTTAGATGGCATTACACTTAGCGGATGCATTGAGGCAGTCATTAATTACACACTATCAGGCCAAGCAAACAGCAGACACTGTTGAGCGGTAATAGCACAACAAGATCAGGTCAATAACACAAATTATTTTAAATTATATTAGATGGATGAACACTTGTGTCCTAAGAATTTGTGCAATCAATTATCCTAAAAGTGTGAGAATGGGGTAACTGTGCCTGTTTCAACCATGGGAGGAAAACAATGCCTGTCCTTCCTGCACTCAAGCCTGCGCTCTGTAGATGGTTGGTTTTTATTAATTTCCTGAGCTTTTCAAACCTGCCACATAAAGCCATCACAGCATGAACTCTATGCCCAGAAGAGATAAACTAGAGTCATCTGCACTCAGTCCTCACTGTACATTTTTACAGAGGTCCTAGCTAGTCAGGCCTAAGCAAAAACACAGCCAACCTTGCTGAAGTGGATTGACTTAGTATCTTTCCTTCTAATACCTTACTGCTGGACATCTGCTTGCTTTGTCTGTATTTTAAAGTTCCTTTGTCTTTCACAATGATCTTAACAGGTATTTAAAATGGCATTGCAGTTTGCTGACTCTGAATCTGCAGGGAGGAATCTAGCCTATAGCCTATTCTTGACACATATATTCCCATTAACACAAGATTCATTCATACCTGAACTACTCTCTGTTACATTAAATTTCATGCTAAAAAATAGTCTGCTGTTTGCCATAACTTCTTTTGCTCTATTTGTGGTTTTATAATGTTTAACTCGAGTATGATAGTGGATGGATTATCTTCTTTTCCTTGTTTGTGTCTTTCGGAAAATGCAGGAAAGAAAAATACTGAAACAACCTATTCATAATCTCAAAATGTAGTGTACTCCCACAATTCAGAGCCCTTTACAAAACACAACCCCAAAGAGAAAGCTGACATTACCAGTTGCCCGTTCCTTATGCACAAAAAGGCTTTCTTTCTTCCTTTTTTTTTTTTTTTACTTACCAGTCATGCTTCCTTGCTCCCTTGTGCCTTGGACTTAGTGTTTCTGTGAGCAATTGTAGGCCTATATGATAAGACTTAAAACTCTGGTTGTGTGGCAGCATTTATAGAGAAAACTTCAGGCCTCTCCTCATGTTCAAACCAATTATAATTCACATTAGGTGGGTGAGGCAGGTAAGTCATACCAGTGGGCATGTAAACTTCCTAGTGACCATATATTAGCTCATGGGTTTTAATACATTGCACTTACGCAATTCAGGGTATTTATCCAGACGGTTGACAGAGATACTTAGAAAAGTAGAGCATTTAATTGCATACCTGGAATCCAGAATTTCACATACAGTGCTGTGTCACTCAGGAAGGAATACTTTTTGAGTCAGTATGAATTAATATATTTTCCCAGTATGATCCATAGATGAGTGTTCATGTAATAAAACTATATATTCATAATAAAAGTCATAGGGTTCTCTCCTATGAGTGCACTTGTAAATCTGCAGGAAAACTCAAAACGCTTCATTCACCTCATCAGTCCTTTTTTGGGGATCACCACAGTAATGCCTTTGTGC